TAGGTGTTCGGAATGATGTGATAACTATCTAGCTGAATTCCATGGTCCAGACAAATTTATGGTCCCCACTCCTCCACCAACTTAACGCCTCACCCCCCACTCCCCACTTATATTTGTTTTGATTAGATCCCTGGACATGATGTCTTCCAGTTCTTTCTTTTGGAATGAATTCTTCCATCTTGGCATTTTGCCTAGACCTCTGTTTACTGTGTGTTAGGAAAAGCTGTTATGTTTTCTGCTCTTGAGAGTAATGGCTATATTAAGAAGAGGTCATATACTGTCCAGAGCATGGTGCTTTAGGAAGGTTTTTTTGGTGTATGCTGTGTGCACTCCACTCTTGTGTTTTGACTGCTCTTTCCTTCTGATCAGTCCTCTGCAGAGTTTCTTCTTGCTTGCAGTGTGGAGTGTTTGGACCTGGTCCAGTGTGTGGCAACTTTTTTTTTTTTTAAGATTTTATTTATTCATGAGAGACAGAGAGAGAGAAGCAGGCTCCCAAAGAGCAGGGAGCCCGATGTGGGACTCGATCCCAGGACCCTGGGATCATGACCCGAGCCGAAGGCAGACGCCCAACCGTCTGAGCCACCCAGGTACCCCAGTGTGTGGCAACTTTTAACTAGGTGTGTTTCAGTGTGCTTGTTAGAAAAGGTTAGGTCTTATTTCCCCTAGAACTGAAGCTTTGCAGCACTCTATGATCAGTAGACTTGGTGCATGCAGGGGTGTTGGGCTGGTCTTCCGGGGTAGGGGCTTGCTGCGCTGGTTCTCAGGCTACTTGTCCTTGTATAGATGTATCTGCAGTGTGCAGTAGGGTGGGGCTTGGTGTAAGTTGTTCCAGCCTCCACTGGGAGCACTGTGTTGCTCACTGAAGTCTGTCCCTTCTTGTGGGCAGGGGGAAAATGGTGTCACTCCACTCTCTCAACCCCAGAAAGGGGAGTTTGCACCTGTTGCTGTTTAGGAAGCCCTCACAGAAGAGTGAACAATCTCCCCTCTTCTGTCCCCTCTTGTGCCTTCACTCTGTCTGTGTCTGAACCATCTGTCTACCTGGCGGCACTGTACTCCTGTGTCTATCTCTGGCATGCGACTGAGTTTCAAAGCTCCAAATTTTGGGGACCTGGCATAGACCAGACCTGCACTGATCCTCTGGGGGAGGGTCTCACCATGCTGTGGCTGCTGCTGTTTTGTCCTAGAAACACAGGCACACGACCATGTGGGGCTAGGAGTTCACAGTAAAGAACAGCCAAAAACTGGCTTCCAGGTTAATTGCCTTCAACAGTTGCCTCTGCTGCTATGCTAATTAATGGGACCGCCAATAGCTCCCGCCTTCTCTTTTGTCCCCTGAGAGGCAGTACCACCTCTCCCAAATGCATTCTAAGAAGGGGAACTGTTTCTCCACATGCAACCCAGGAGATCCTCAGCCCACACTATCTGCTCTTGGGCCTCTGCCCTCCTTCCCCACAGGAGCACTGCTAAGCCCACCAGGCACAACACTGTTGATGGTACGGACTTCTAAAACTTCAGACTTTGAGCTTCCCTGCTTATAAAAACTTGTGATAGTCAGCCCTACTCCTTTTCCCAACCAATGGTTTTGGGGAAGAGTTTTTGTTGTTGTTGTTCAGTCCCCTGCACGCTGTTTTCATTCTTTCATTCTCTCTCTTTCTATCTCACTCCTCTCTCTCTGATCAGGGGTACCTCACCTCTGCAGCACCCACAATTCTTTCCCCCCCAAATCAACTCTCTGCACTACCTTCTATGGTGTGGCCATTTTTCTGTCTCTAGATGTGCAGTTTGTTCTCTCAGTCCTCAGATCAATTTCTTGGGTGTTCAGAATGATTTGACATTTATATGGCTGTGTTTGAGGGACAAAGCAAGCATAGGGTCCCCCTTACTACTCAGCCATCTGGAGACTATGTAGTTGTCTTTTAAATCAGATAGAAGAAAAAGAGTTACTAACAAAAAACATTTATACTCTCTTTATATTTACTTATGTAGTTATCTTCACTGATGCTTTATTTCTTCATGTTGATTCAAGTTACTACCTAGTGTCCTTTTATTTGAGTTTGAGGAATTCTCTTTAGGATTCCTCATAGGACAAATTGGCTGGTGACAAACTCTCCCAGTTATTGTTTATCTTGGAATGCTTCAATTTCTCCTTTGTTTTTGAAGGACAGTTTTGCTAAATATAGAATTCTTGATTGATGGGATGTTTGTTTTAGAACTTTGAATGTCATCTCAGTGTGTCAAAACTTCCATTGTTTCCAATAAGAAATCAGCCATAAATCTTTTTTTCTTTAAAGATTTTATTTAAATTCAAGTTAGCTCACATATAGTGTAATATTAGTTTCAGGGGTAGAGTTTAGTGACTCATCATTTGCATATAACACCCAGTGTTCATTACATCAAGTGCCCTCCCTAATACCCAATTACCCCATCCTCCTCCACCTCCCCTCCAGCAACCCTCAGTTTGTTCCTTATAGTTAAGAATCTCTTATGGTTTGTCTCACTCACTATCTTTATCTTATTTTGTTTTTCCTCCCCTTCCTCTATGTTCATCTGTTTTGTTTCTTAAATTCCACATATGAGTGAAATCATATGGTATTTGTCTTTCTCTGACTGACTACTTTTGCTTAGCATAATATCCTCTAGTTCCATCCACATCATCACAAATGGCAAAATTTGATTCTTTTTGATGACTAATATATATATATATATTACATCTTATTTATCCATTCATCAGTTGATGAACATTTGGGCTCTTTCCATGTTTTAGCTATTGTAGATAGTGCTGCTGTAAACATTGGGGTCCATGTGCCTCTTCAAATCACTATTTTCTTTACCCCTTAGACTACTGCTTAGTTGTGCAAATACTGGGTCATAAGGTAGTTCTATTTTTAACTTTTTGAGGAACCTCTTTCCTGTTTTACATAGTGAGAAATCAGTCATAAATCTTATTGAGAATCTCTTACACATGATGATATGCTTCTCTCTTGCTGCTTTCAATATTGTTTCATGGCTTTGGCTTTTAATTATGTATCTAGGTGTAGATTTTGTTTTTAATTTTCCTACTTAGAGTTCATTGAGCTTCTCATATTTGCAGAATAATGCTTTTCATCAAATTGGGATTTTTTTGACATTATTTAAAAATAATATTCTGTCCTTTTCCATCCTGTATTTCTAGGACTTTTATTATGTGTACATTGGTACACTTGATGGTGTCCCACAAGTCTCTGAGGTACTGTTAATTTTTCCTCATTTTCTTCTTTATTTTTGTGGCTAATGTCAATTGTCATCTTTTCAAGTTTATGGTTTCTTTCTTTTGCCATTTTAATCAGCTCTAGTAAATTTTTCTCCCCCTCGTGTTTTTTTGTTTTTTTTTTTTTTGGTGATTTTACTTTTCAACTCCAGTATTTCTAGATGGTTCTTCTCTTATAATGTATGTCTCTTTATTAATATTCTCTATATGGTTTGAATCAGTTTCATTTTTTCAGTTCTTTAGGCATGGTTTCCTTTAGTTTTTTATAACATATTTAAAATAATTTAGTCAAAATCTTTGTTTAGCAAGTCTAATACCTGTGCTTCCTCAGAAACAGTTTCCGTTTATTGATTTTTTTACCTGTTTATGAGCTTTCTAGTTTTTTTGAATATCTCATATTTTTTGTTGAAAACAAGTTTTTAAATAATATAATGTGACAATTATGGAAGTCTGATTCTCACTTTCTCCAGGGCCTCTTGTTGACATTGCTTGTTGTGCTATTTGCTGTTTATTTGTTTATTGACTTTTCTGAATTAATCCAGTATAGTTTTTGGTATTCTTTGTCATAGATTGCCAGTGAAGTCTCTACTATATTAGCTTAGTGGTCAGCTAATGGTTGAATAGAGATTTCCTTAAATACCTAAAACTAATAAATCTTTTTTAAAGGTCTCTGTTGCCTGTTGAAATATGTCTTTAGCACTCACCCAGACAGCTTATAATTGTGTCATAACCTTTACTCCTTGCTTACATGGAGTCTCAAGGCTAGCCAGAGGTAAAACCTTATAACCTTCTCATGTCTTTTCTGAACATGCACACAGCACTATGCTTGGCAGTGACCTTCTAGAGTCTTAGGAATGTGTCAGAGATTTTCAAAGCTCCTATTGACATTTCATTCTTCAGTTTTTCTTTTTAAGTTTTTTGGTCAGTCTCTTGTTTCCCTCAACTCTTATCCATTGTCTCAGGCAGCTGTGTGACACATATACCCCTCTCCCAAGGGAGAGTTGTAGCACTGGATAACTAATAAAGACAAGCCTTTTGAGTCAGGAAACCACTGCACAGGTCAATAATGACAGTTATTTGGGAATTGATCTGTTCTGCTCACTCAAAGCTACTATTGGCCTGGGGAGGAGTAAGAGGGTTATGGAAAGTTCAAATGGCACCAAATTGCTGTTATTAACAACAGTGAAGTGTTTTGTTGTTGTTGTTGTTTTGTTTTGTTTCTAAAAATTTTCCCTGGATTGATGCAAACCTTTGGTTATTTTTTTTTAATTTTGGAAAAAAAATGTTGATTTTGAAGAATTTTGTCAGTTATTGTATTGCTTCTGTGAAGAAACAAATATCCAGAGGTCATAACTCTACTATTCCCATTGACATCACCCACAGCCAACTTCTTTGTAATATTTTCTAAGTCCCTCTCAAGAAAATTAGTAGCTAAATTTCAGAAGATAGTAAAAACAAAATGTCTTTCCAATTCATGTTGAAAGACCCTCTAGACTCTAGTTACACATTCCTTGGGGGTCTATGAACCCTGGTTTAAGAATCCTACCTTGAAATGATGTGAAGGATGAACAGGTAACACCCAACTTTCCAGCATCATGAGAAAAGTGTTGAGAGAGGTCCAGGTATAGACCTGACTGGCCTTTACTTCCTTCCTCTTAGTTAGCTTTCTTACTCATTTACTAATTTCTCCAGGGCATTCAACTGTTCACTCAAGGGTGCCAGGGCCCTTGACTGGGCTCTCTTTTCCTTGCAGATTCCTCAAAGCCACTCAAGGCTAAGACTGAAGCACCTACAACCATGAAATCTCCCTTGGAAGGTGAGTTTCAGTATGGTTTGGGTGCAATAGAGTCCTGAAATGATGCCATGGAATCCAAAGGAGGAGACTCCATGCCATTATATGGGTAACAAGAGGTCACTGGGTTCCTCAGAGAAAACATGACAATAACAGAATGGAAATAAAAGAAAGGTAGCAATGATTAAAAAGTTGTGAAAAAGTGGAATCATAAATATGTATACTCTTCTTTGTGAGAACTTCTGAGGCAAAAGTAAGAGAGAGTTGGAATACTCATGTGAGAAAAGAGAAAGCTCTGACTTCTGTTTTGCTCCTAATTTGACTTTCTGTGGGATTTTGGATATGTTGCACCACCCCCTCCATGGGCCTCTTCCCACCACTAACAATAAGAAACTAAGATACCTCATCTTAATGGTACTAATGATCAATACATGGCAAGGAATTCTAGAAAGCTCAGCATTGATGCCTGATGAAGGTACCCAAACTTTGCAGTCACACTCTACCTCATAGTTTTTGGCTGGAAAAGAGGCCTCTGAGCCTAGTACTTTGTTCTCATAGCAACTTCTACAGTGAACCTGATTTGGAACTGGACCACTGAAGTGGATGGCTACCTTGGGAAGACCAGTGCTGAGCCAGGTAAGGAAATTCAGGATGTCTATCCTTCCTTCTTGGCTTTGAACTTTGCAACTGAAACTTTCCACAATACACACTGTTATGTGGAATTTAATTCTTCAAAACTTTGCCACACAAAGCTCAAAGGCCCTGGAGATGAGCAGAGTTGGTGGTATGGAGAGGGAGAGATACAAATTCAGTAATGAGCAAAGTCAAAGTGGGGTTAAGTGGTAGATGTGTTCTTAGCTGGTTCTTTGTTGTCATAATAATACACCTTCCAAATACTCTAAGCAAGAATAGGAATGGGACCATGACCTCAGCCAACTCTCTTAGGGAGATGGGCATTGGACTACATAAGGGTAATTTCAGGGCTTCATTACTTGAGCTCTTAACCAGGGCTCACCAAGCAGCTTGCAGCTGATTTCTGATTTCTCCAAAGTTTCAAGGATCCCTAAGTCATGATCTCAAAGTTCCAAACCCCAAAGAGAAGCTTTTTTGTGTTTCACCTGGAGCTTGTAGTCAGCTTGTATGCACTGATATGATTGCACTGATGGTTAAAATAGTGAAAAAAATGTTATATAGTTGATAATTAGATGCTTTCCTTAGTCTGAACAACCTATCATCACCTGAGCTGGTCTGCCTTATCCCTTAGAGCTCTCCAGACAACACATGGTCCTGCAACAAAAGTGTCAATGCCTAGTATAGCAGGGGGCTTCTGAGACTCCAGGTTTACAGTAAGCATTTGTTTCAGTTAGTTGATCCTAAATAGTGATGACTATTACGACTGGTTTCATCCTCTAATTGTGTATCATTAATGGTGGATTTCTTAACTATTTTATTTTATTTTTTTTTAATTTTGGGGGGAGAGATAGGACCTTTATTTATTTATTTATTATTTATTATTTATTTATTTATTTTATTATGTTCAATAATTGTGGATTTCTTAATGCCCATGTACTTCTCCCCTGATGGTTGCACAGCTTTTTGTCTATCTTTAGGTATAGTTCAAACCTGTTTTGTGGGCTACTTTTGCGTTGCCACCTTTGACTTAAAGGCTTCCATAATTCCATGCCTCTTGCAGAGCAACATCCAATGAGACAAGGGAGATTAGAAGATAATTTTTGGAGAGTTGGCTTGAGAAAATGAGAAGATAACCCAAGGGGAATGGAAATTCTCAGATATTTTGTGTGTGCCCAACATCCTCCATCCGTTTTTGTTTTGTTTTGTTTTGTTCACTACTTGGCTCCCTCTAAGGGGGATCCTTCCTTTAATCTCCATCAGTTTATAGCTTGGGTTCTCTCATTCCATCCAAAGCAGCAGAATACACATTCTTTCCCAAGTGCACATGGTTCACTCTCCAGAATAGATTACAACCTAGGTCAGAAATAAGGCTTCAGCATGTACAAAAAGATTGAGATCATACCAGGCATATTTTCTGACCACAATACTATGAAACTTGAAGTCAACCACACGAAAAAAAAAAATTGGAAAAACCACAAATACATGGATGTGAAACAACATGCTACTAAACAATGAATACGTCGATCAGGAAATCAAAGAAGAAATATAGTTTGGGTACTCTCAGCTCCAACCATAGTTCTGAGGACCACAAATACCAGATTTTTAAAATTTATTTTTTTTTAATTCAAGTGTAATTAACACACAGTGCTATATTAGTTTCAGGTATATAATGTAATGATTCAACAATTCTATACATTGCTCAGCACTCATGATAAGTGTACTCTTTTTTTTTAAGATTTTATTTATTTATTTGAGAGACAGAGAGAGAGTGAGAGAGAGCATGAAAGGAGAGAGGGTCAGAGGGAGAAGCAGACTCCCCTCTGAGCAGGGAGCCCGATGTGGGACTCGATCCTGGGACTCTGGGATCATGACCCGAGCCGAAGGCAGCCGCTTAACCAACTGATCCACACACATGTCCTATAAGTGTACTCTTAATCCCCTTCACCTATTTCACCCATCCCCCCACCCACCTCCCTGATGGCAATCACCAGTTCTCTATATTTAAGAGTCCGTTTTTGTTGTTGTTGTTGTTGTTGTTTTCTTGTTTTCTTTGTTCATTTGCTTTGTTTCTTAAATTTCACATATGAGTAAGGTCATATGGTATTTGTCTTTCTCTGACTTCTTTCACTTAGCATGATACCTTCTAGATTCATCCATGTTTTTGCAAATGACAAAAAATTGCATTATTTTTTATGACTGAGTAATATTCCAGATTTCTAAGACAAAGTATTTTGGGGTCTGGTAAAAATAAAACCAGTTGCAGCAACAAATCCTAAGGGCAGTGGAATTCCTACCCCTCTCTATCCCCTGATCTCACCCCCTAGATTCAGAATACTGTAGCTACAAGTGCATTAGACATTATACAATCTTTTCATTGAACTTATGGGAACGCTAAATCTTACTCAATAGTTTGAGTAGTCACTATTTATTTTTCTCTGAGGGCTATAAAATTTAGTGCCTCAAATTTAGTGCCTTAAAATAACACAAATGTATTATCATACACTCCTGGAGATCAGACATCTGACACACTGAGCTAAGATCAAGGTATTAGCAGAGCTATGTTTTTCTGGAGGCTCTGAGGAAGAATCGGGTTCTTTGCTTTTTTCCAGCTTCTAGAAGCTACTCATGTTCTTGGCTCTTGGCCCCCTTCCACCATTTTCAAAACTAGCAATGTAGCATCCTTAAGTCTCTCTCTAACTCTGATCTCCTTTGTTTCCCTCTTCCACTTTTAAATGACCCTTTTGATTACATTGAGCCTGCCCAGGTAATCAAGATAATCTCCCTATCTCATGATCAGTTAATTAGCAAACTTAAATATATCTGCAACCTTAATTCCTCCTTATAATTTAAACTAAAAAACTCATAGATCCCGGGGATTTGGATGTGAACATCTTGGATAACCATTATTCTGCCTACGACAGTCATACAAGTAAATAACAGATCCAGGACTAGAAGCCCAGTCCGGTGGTTTCCTTGAGTTTGTAGGCACAATTGGGATAGCTAACTCAGGAGACTCAGTGGACATATTTTTTGAAGAAAAAGAAACCTGAGCACTTGCCCAGAGAGTGTGAAGAAAAGAATTATTTTCTTATTTTTTTTTAAATTTAATTTCAATTTTGTTAACATATAGTGTATTATTAGTTTCAGGGGTAGGATTTAGTGATTTAATAGTTGCATATAATGCTCAGTGCTCATTACAGAATGTGTCCTCCTTAATGCCCATCACCCAATTACATCATCCCTCCACGCACCTCCCCTCCAGCAACCTTCCGTTTGTTTCCTAGAGTTAAGAGTCTCTTATGGTTTGCCTCCTTCTCTGTTTTTATCTTATTTTTCCTTATCTTCCCCCATGCTCACCTTTTTTTAAAGATTTTATTTATTTATTTGTCAGAGAGAGAGCACAAGCAGGGGGAGTGGCAGGCAGAGCAGCCAGAACAGGCAGAGGGAGAAGTGGGCTCTCTGCTGAGCAAGGAGATTGATGTGGGACTCAATCCCGGGATCCTGGGATCATGACCTGTGCCAAAGGCAGACGCTTAACCAACTGAGTCACCCAGGTGTCCTTATGCTCATCTTTTTTGTTTGTTAAATTACACATATGAATGAAATCATATGGTATTTGTCTTTCTCTGACTGACTTATTTTGCTTAGCATAATACCTTCTAGTTCCACCCACATCATTGCAGATGGCAAGATTTCATTCTTTTTGATGGCTGGGTAATATTCCATTGTATATATACATATACCACATCTTCTTTATCCATTCATCTGTCAATGGCTGTCTGAGCTCTTTCCACATTTTGGCTATTGTGGACATTGCTGCTATAAACATTAGGGTGCATGTGCCCCTTCAAATCACTATGTTTGTAACCTTTGGATAAATACCTAGAAGTTATTTATAGTTATAGCGTAGTTCTATCTTTAACTTTTTGAGCAACATCAATGATATTTTCCAGAGTGGTTGCACCAGTTTGCATTCCCACAGTGTAAGATGGTTCCCCAAGGGAAAGAAAAAAAAAATGTTTTGGCTAGAAGTAATTGACCAGAATATCAATAAGGTAGCATTTTTGTGAAGAGGGAAGTCAAGGTACTATTTTCTCTTAAGAGTAGGTGAAAAAAAAAAAAAGAGTAGGTGAAAATCTCTACTCTTGGCCCCATGGAAAACATGGAGTACTAATTCAAATGCCCAGGCCAATCAGCCATCAATTAGTGGGTTTGGAAGAATGTGTTTATACATGGAGTCTCTAGCCTCTTTCCAGTCTTTTTCATAGGTTTGGGGTCTTGTTTGTCTCTCTGGATAGCTAATAAAGCTAGGAGAAAATTAAAAATGGAAAAAAAAAAGTTATGGGCTAGTCTGGGCTGATCCTTGGAATCTCTGTTTCTGAAATCATTTTCAACCATATACCTCTTTGTCTTGTTTCACCTCCTAGGAAAGGGCCTGCCTGTCTTTTCCATTGTTCTCATCATTTCCCTGTGCTGTATGGTGGTCTTCATCATGGCTTATGTTATGCTCTGCCGGAAGACATCCCAACAAGGTGAGTGATGAGTATGACTGAGTGACTTTGCCCATTAATTCATTCTGAGAGTATAGTTAAGCATAAATTCTGTGCCAGCCACTGTGCTATGCACTTCAAAGTGCTCTTAGCGTAGTTTGGGATTGAGGGTAGGGATGCATGGAGGCAGACATGCAAGCCAACAATGACAATATGATTTATTGAAGTTAATTTACAAATCTTTAGTACCAAGCTTAGTACAAGCCATCTCTGTAATGGATTGTCTAACGAGGATGTAAGAGAAAGAGAAGTCACAATCTTTGGCCTCAAGTTGCTTAGAATTTATTTAGAAAATTCAAAGTAGAAACATGGAATTTATCAATATCCATACATAGCAATATAGGTTATAGACTCAAAGCCTGGAGAGAACAATCAATGCTAAATGTTTTCAGAGAAGAGAATCAGTTAGAGCTGAAGTGATTAACAAGGGCTTTTAGAAGGAGATGGGACTTAGACCAGGCCTTGGAGGATGAAAACAAATTAGAAGGCAGCATTCCAGAAAGGAGGAACTATAAGAGTAAAGGTGCAAATGTTTAAAAGATGACTGTGAGTGGGGTCAATGTAGAAAATACATGGGTAAATGCAGGGGGAAAGAAAAGTTTACTCCTGATTATGGAGTGTCTTAAATAACAGCCTAAGGAACTTGGAAATTTTTCTCTAGGCCTTGCAAAGGAACTCAAAGTCAACAATGTTTTTTTTAAGCAAAGGAGTGACATTATGAAGGTGCAGTTGTCAGGACCATTTAACAACTGTGAGCCAACAGAGGAAGAAAAAGAGAGTTTGGATGTTGATTCCTTTTTTTTTTTTTTAAAGATTTTATTTATTTATTTGACAGAGAAAGACACAGCGAGAGAGGGAACACAAGCAGGGGGGAGTGGGAGAGGGAGAAGCAGGCTCCCCGCCAAGCAGGGAGCCCGATGCGGGACTCGATCCAGGGACTCCAGGATCATGACCTGAGCCGAAGGCAGTCGCTTAACCAACTGAGCCACCCAGGCGCCCTGGATGTTGATTTCTAAGTAAAACCTAGCTACACCTCAATACCTGCTGCACTGGCCATTTTGCCTAACATTAGTGTCTTTTTCTCTGTAGCAGCTCCTATTCCCAAGTAGCCTGGTTTCCACCATGACTTTCTCCAGCTGAAGGGGAGAAAGGAGCCTTGAGTATTTCCTTCTCCTGGGTCTTAAGTATAAGTTCTAGTCTTGGCCAGTTAACATAGCTATGACTCATGAGGCTGAACTTGAAAGTAGAGATATCTCAAGTAACCACAAATCCCAGGAATACTAAAGGAAAAATATTCATCATGTCTCAATGAGACTAGGTATAAACTGTAACCATATTTGATTGTTTCCCTCTCAAAAACCTTCCAAGGCTTCTCATGGCCCAGGGGATAAAAGTAAAAATGTTGCATTCCATTTAAGGTCCTCTCTGATGTAGCCTATCTTCTTGACCCCCACCACTCCTTATTTTCATTTCCAGTCACTGGAGTCAAACAGGCAAATAAGCCATACACCTCATGGTCTTATGTTTTTTTTTCCCATCTAGATTGCCTTCCCAAAATTTCTATTATTTACCTCTCTATAAGAGAGAGATAGCCTTGGGCCATCAGTTCAATTTAACATGTAGTTACTGATTGCCTACTATGTGCCAGGCAGTGGGCATATAATAATGAAAAAGACAATACCTGTGTTATGGGAACTACCAGGCCAATGGGGGAGGTAAGACATGGAAACACAATGGCTGTATCACAAAGTAAAGGGTGTATGGCATGCTCTGTTTGCTTTTTTGTGGTTTAATGCATGCATTCCCAGTTGTATTCCTGTAAGATTATAAACCCCTAGAGGGCAGTACCAAGAGACATCTATCTTTGTACCAGGATTTATAGAGCCTTTAAGCCTGCACAGAATGTAGATAGTTCTCCTCCACAGACACTAGGGGGCAATGGTGTTCTATTTAAAGACCTATCTTGGGTGCACCGCGGAGGTGAATGCATTTTGGCTTTGGTCATGGTCCCTCACAGATTAATTCAGCCCCTTCTGTCTGGGCTCTGGCCTGGCCACCAAGTTTCCACAAAAACTCCCTGGAATCTTTGGCAAGATTCCTGGGTGGGGAGTGGGTCCAGTTCCAATGTCCTTCCCCCACCACACCAAGCAACTGTTCCAGCCCAATGTCTTGAGTCATACTATGCCAAAGAGGATAGTAACCAAGTGTGCTTCCTCTTCCTTTCTCTGAGAAATCTGTATCCCTGTGCTTCAGTTTACCTTCCCAATACCTCCCAGTCCTCCCTTCTCTCTCCCCTTCCCTTACCCTTTGACTGGTAACCAGTGTCCACTTTTAGCCCTTGTCCACTCCCCATGGTGACTTCTGACTTGAGTCCTCCTTCTTTTCTAGAGCATGTCTACGAAGTGGCCAGGTAAGACTGCCTCTTCTCTTCCATCTTCTGAACCCTTCCCTGCCCTCATTCTGTTAGTCACTGGCATGGAGGAAAAGGAGGTTGGCACAAACCCAATTCTAAGCCCAGAGGCCTTCAGGGTCAGGACACTGCTTTCTTCCCTCTCTGAAGCACCTCCTGAGGTTCTTTCTTGGCTCACTGATCACACAGGATAATCCAGGTCCATCAACCTCCTGTTCCCAGAATCCCTTGATAAAACAAGAACCTAAGGGTCAGTTGGCAAGAATTGGGACAGAAGTGTGGGAAACTAGAATCCCAGCCTCAATTCCCTCTTTACGGGTGGTGGGATCTTGGGCCACAGGGCACATGCCAGGGAGGCCAGCAATTCTGGTGAAACCTGGAGAGTGGCCATTTTCACAAGTGGCTGCTCCAGCAAAGAGCCATTTTCCCAGACTCCAGGCAATGACTACTCCGAGGATCCCTGGCTGGGCCAGGAGTACAAGATCATCGCCCAGATCAACAATGACTATGCTCACCTGCTGCATACAGTTCCCCCAGATTATGAGCTTTTGGCCACCAAGGACAAGGACCTCTGCTAAAAATGCCCTGCTAAGCCAGGGCCTGCTGATATAATTGCCTATTAAGCCCCTGCTTTCTGCATAGCCACCTTCCCTGTTACCTCTCTTCCTGGATGACCCAACATGTCTTCCCTGCCCAACACTGAGGTTCCTAAGAGTGACTGGCTTTGCCTAAGAAGTTACCATATGCACTGCTATGGTCTTAGACCCTTCTGTTTTCCCTTCTTCTACTGCTTCTCTTTGAACACCAGAGGGAAGTTCCCATAGCATTAAGACTTGGTCATCATGCTTCCAGATACCACGCAACTTTGGCCTCTTGCCACCAGAAGACCAGAGGGAAACTCAGCTTTGCCAGCTGAGGGGACCAGTTGTTTCCAGGATCACTTCCTTTTTTTTTAGGGCCAGATAGCTTTTAAATAAGATTTGTAAGTAACAGGTCAGGATTCAGTTTTGCTCCTGAACTGTGAGTCTAGTGCTCTGCTATTCTTTTGATGCTCAATAAATATCTAATCATGATAGCAACCTTGGTTGTATTGGTCTTCTCTCAAGTACTTACCAAGTGAATAAAGTGAGACTAGTTGAGATGTTTGGGGACTTGGAATTATAAATAGCACCTTTTCTTTTTTGGTCTTTCTCTTTCCTACCCATGCCATCTTTACCTTACTTCAGAGGTGGACCCATCTGGGACACAATGAATGTTTGGCAAGTTAGTACCCAACTGTCTTCCATCCCTCTCTCTGTAACCCTGCCAACTCCACCTGGATGACTCTCTTAAGTCAATTGGAAACCTGAAAATGAAGGATCCTTTCTTCTATTTCAGGGGACTGTGGATGCAGAGATAAAGGGCTCCTTTCTTTCTAAAGTATGGATATATCAGCCTCAAAGATTTCTACCTCCTAGAATCCTAAAATCTTTGCAGTAGTTGTATTCATCATAAGTCATCTCTATCTCCTGGCCTCTTCTTACAATGTAGAGTGAGGGTCAAAGCAAGGAAGTCTTTTTCATCAAGCATAAATGGGAAATAAGAGTGTAGGGGTGTGTGTGTGTGTTTGTCCATTTGTGTGTGTGCACACATGCATACAACTTAATTTCAGTCTCCTCTGTGAGGACCTGTTCTAGGCTGGCTCAACACTACTTCCTTTCCCTCATATAATTCATGTCAAATCAACCTCTTTGCTCTTCATGCAACCTGTTTTTGCCGCTTTTCATTCCAATGCAGTCCCAAGGTCAGCTCAGGTTTCACCAAGAGCTTCTCTTTGGATGATTACATAAGTCAAAATAGTACAAAGAAATGAACAAGAAGGAATCCTCTGCTTCACCACCATCAACCCACCAAGTCCATGGTCAAAACCTCAGTGTTTTCCCCAATAAGCCAGATTCACATAGCTGGTGAAAGGAGCAACGTATTCTTCCCCACCATGCTTACAAGCCTCTGAAACAGGGACCCACCCAGGAGAAACCTCAGCTTCTTTCATGAAACAGCTGTGTCCAGACCCCACAGCCTCAGGAAAAAAAAAAAGTATCTCTTCCTACTACCTTTGGAGAAAGGAATGACTAGGCTTAAGAAGAGAATCCTAACCATATGTCCATTAATAAAAGGAGCCCCAAACCCAGGGACACTTCCCTGTTACCCCCATAGGAGCTATGGACTCCTGGGGATATTTCAGTCTCTTGTCTTAAAAAGCTTAGAGATCATTGATTTTAATTCTCTCTTATTACAGATGAGGAAATAAAGCCTAGAGAGGAACAGTAACAGTCCAAAGTCACACATGTCAAGTCAATGACAGAACAGACACCAGAAAACAGGTCTGTGAACTCCTAGGAGCATATTCATTGCAGTAGAAAGCTTATGGATATCATCTTTGCCCAAAAACTATACTTTTTTTCCATACAAGACAAGCCAGTAAGAGAGTCCTGGGTATAGGGCTATCCCAAACCTGCAGGGTAAGCTAAATAAACATGGGATGATAATATATAATTGTTTTAGGCAGATGGCTAGTCAGGGAAAGCTGGAAAACTGAAAAAAGGAGATTCCCAAAAAAAGAGAGAAGATATGAAGTCCCTCTAGGACAGTTTTCCAAGTTTTATCCAAGAGATGGCCTACAGAAAAAAAATTCCACGATTAGATAGACATGAGAAATGTTTCATTCTATAGCTCTCTATTGGAGATTTCCAATGCAACATTAGAATATTAAAGGCTCTGAAAATCCTGAAATAAAACACCTGTATAACTTTGAGTTACCACATAATTCCAAAACCTATTTGTCCTCTGAGCCTACTTTTTTTTTGCCTTTCTCCTCCACCCCTGACTCTATTTCTCAGGAGGAAAACCCCTCACATACCCTATAGCATTATCATGACCACAGTTTAATTTTTTTCACAAAATTCCTGGATGGCATTTTGATCCAAAACCAAGGATAATGGTCTAGTACAAAGTCAATCAATCAGTAAACATTTATTATTTTCTGTAACCAGAGTACTGAGCTGCATGCTGAGGTAGGGATGGAAAGGGGAGACAGCAATCAAGGAAACATAGTGCTGTCCTCACAATTTACTGGGGAATTCAAAAATATCCCCTGGAAAAGTTTACTAACAGTTTAAGAGGTGCTATTAGGCAATAGGAGAAGAAAGGGGTACATATAAGGACCAAAGCAAGGAGTGTTCGAATGAAGAAGAAAAAAAGTGTAGGCTAACTTTCACAAGTCTTTGGAGAGACTAGATTTTGGCTGGACCAGAAGTATGAGAAATAATTGAATAGGCAGAAAAAAAATGGAGAAAGTATAACCAGAAGGAAAAAAAGACATGAGGAAGAGGAAAAAATAAATAAGGTCAAAATGCATTTAGAAGTCAAGGCTGAATATCAGGAAAGTGGGTTTCTAAGCCCTGTCATGAAGCTTGTGTGAAAGTTCTAGTGTCCTTACTGGGAGACTCTGTAGAGGAATGTGAAGAAAGGAAATATGAATCAAAGAGCACGTCCATCCCTGGGCCCTATATACCTTTCCAAGACCATTATGCCCCCCTCAGGCTCTGACAATATAGAAACAGTACAGGGCTGTAGCTTCAAGAGTTGCCTCACTTTTCCCCTGGCAACCTCAGATACAATGCTTCAGTTCCCGCAGAGTCACTGGAAATAACTTGTGACAGATTAGTTCATGTTTGGCAAGTGATCTTGTATCCAGTTGGCAATTTATTTGTTGTATCCCAACTGCCCTGGCCTGGAGCTGTTAGGCATGTGCCGCACTTGGGGTATTTGACAAACTGACACTCTACCACACGGAGTGTCCAACTCAGCTTGTCAAATACACGGAGCGTGGCACTGCAGGAGGCCAGACCAGGGGCTTCAGTGGGGAGGCAAGATCTTCCTGGGAGATGTGGCCCTGGAGGGAAAGAAAGAAAAATGAGTCACACCCTGAACTCCAGAGAAACTGCTGAGGATAAGGACTAGCTGAAACATCAGAATAGGGAAGTGAGCAAAATAAGCATAAGGCTCCCAACCAGAAGATGGATCCTAAGGGAAGGCCCAGTTGAGATCACAGATGAGGCCCCAGTGCTCAAGTTGGGGTCCTCAGGCTTGAGTACTATAGCTATGGCATTTCTTGGGGTTCCAAGCTTCAGTGGACTCCTATATGCAGTAGGGAGAGAATTTGGTCATTGTCCTGCCGCTCTGACCTCAGGAAAGGACTAGGCCCCAGAGTCAGTGTCCATGCCCTCCCTTCCCTACTCTCCCACAGTCTTGTGGTTATGAACATAGACTTTGAGGTTAAACATAGGCTTGAATTTTGGCTCTGTCACTAAGTAGCTAAGAAACTTCAGATAAATTATTCATCTCTCTGAGCTTGTTTTCCACATCCACAAAATGGGTATGAGTACCTACCTAATAAGTTATTGTGAAAATGGCATGAGGTAATGTATATAAAGCTTTTAGTTCAGTATTTGATGCATAAAAAATGTTCAAAAATGGTGGTTGTGCTACCAGAAGGAAAGCAAGGGCCATTGACAATTGATTTAACAGGGTCAGGACAGATGAAACAGGAATGCTTTATGGCCTCAGCCTTTCCTAACATGGTCTCCCTTGTCCCATCAGGACTCAAGAATGGCAGCTATAAAATGACCATCATTTAGTCTTACCCACTCATATTATAAATGAGGAAACAAAGGTTCATATTGAGGAAGAGAGTTGCTAAAAGTTATACAAGCTGTACAGTTTGGGCTGTGCCTTATCACCCCATTGTGCCTTTCAGTTTTCCTCATTGGTTCTTTTACCTCCCTGTTATGTATATCTCTCTGGGAAAAGGGAGACACATCCACAAGGATGGCAAAAGACAAGCAGTAGACTTGGCAGTTAGGCACTGGGATCTTTCCGCCCACAGCCATTAGGGAAATGAGGAAGCTGCCAGCAGATGGTCAGGTCTGGAACTTCTAGGGAAATTCCCTTGGTAACACCCAGATCCTGTTGATAAAAATTCCAGGTTGTCTGTGTCAAATGTCTCACCCTCCCCACTGTGGCAATTGATCTATGAGAAAGTAGCTGGCCTATATTAAATACTGGCATGAAAAGTGGCAAACATTGCAAGATTTTCAGGAATAGAAAACTGCCCCAAGAGGTCAGAATGCCCTGTCCCAGCTAAGACAAGGCAGAGGGACTTGTCTTTCAGGAACAACAACAAAAAAAAGTAGTTAAAAAAAAACCCCTCAACTCTTTTAGTTTAATGTATGTTGGTGAGAGGGTGACATGCTTCTCCAATTTGAGATCTAGGAATGACTTCAAATATACGTCTATAAAGAGTTTTTCCCATACCCTCACAACTCTTATCTATTCAATCCACCTCAAGCCACCCAGAATTGTGGTTCTTTCAGCCAAAGCAACAATCTTGGTCACCATATATGGTATAGTGCAAAGAATCATAAAAACTTGGATTCTAATGCTGCCTTAGGTACCAACTAACCAATCATGGCATTGGGCAAGTCTTTCTTTGAGCTTCAGTTGTCTTCTCTGGAAATGGGGACAAGACTTACCTGGCAGAATTGTTTGGTGAAGTGTTTGGTCCAGCTCTGGAAAGTGTTTGGTGAGCTTTCCAGAGCTTCCCATATAGGTCACAGGCACCTTGGTTCAGTCCCTGGAGCTGTGGGTGGAAGCCAGCCAAGAAAGTTGATTAATAGAGTTTGAGTTCAGGATGGCAAGACAGAGAGAACTGGATTGGTGCCTTTTTCTATAATTACCCTCATTGGCTACCAGCTCCAGTGAGAAGACCTGGATAAACTGGAGATGTCTGCAGCCTCCTGAAAGCCCTTTCTGACTTCATAAAAAAAGAGAGAAATATAAAATGGCTAAAGATTTCTTCTTAGTACACTCAAAGTTGAAGAGCCTTAGAGATCATGTCACCCCAGTATTAATGGAAAGAGTCAGTAGCTAAGCTGAAACCAAATAGGTTTTATTTCCACTCTTGATGTTCTAGTCCATGCCTCTCCAAAAGAGTATATATAAGAAAAGTAGGCTCAGTTGAGAAAGGCTGGTCAGACCCATAGGAAGAAGATGTGAATAGCTACATAGAAATATTAAGGAACTCTGAAAGCTCTTCTCTTGGTTCTGTCATACTAGACAAAACAACATCATTTGTCCCCTGATCTACCCTGGCAGGGTTAACACAACAAACAGCAGGACTTGCCCTGCACCTAATCCAGTTGGGCCTCCTCATACATACTGGAGGCAGTATGGAATTTTTTTAGGCATGGTTCATCCCCCCATTCAGCCCCACCCAGAGATATTTACTCATCATCACTCTTACGTCCTTTCTCAACAGAGAGTTGACAACCATCAAAATAAGGGATATAAAAACAAAAAGTCTTTAGGTAAATGGCAAAATCAGGGCTGCTACTCAAATTTCCTAACCCCTGAGTCCAGAGAACATTCCACTTCCATGTGGCTATCTCTTAAAAAGCCTGTTTGAAGAAGAAATGTCATCCTCCTTTCTCACTATTAGAAGTTTCAGGATAGAAGACCACTGGGAACATTCTTCTCACCCACCCTTGACCTAGGATCCCTGAGGAGAGTATAAGGAGAATGGGAAAGGCAGGTCCAAGCCATGTTTGGTAGTCATGGACACTGCCCCAGCTTGGGAATCCAAGCAGAGAGGACAAATAGATATTATACCTGTTACCGGAGTGGTGTCTTGGTCTCAAAGGAGGCAAAAGTTCCCTGGTGATGAGCCAAACTGCAGAGGCCAGAGGTAACTGGGCTTTTTGCCTGGAGGAGGAAGGTCGTGTGTTTTGAAGGGCCTTTGGTGTCTTCAAGAGGAAACAGAAATGAGGAAGATAAGGCTGAGGTTAGCCAACGGAAATCTGGGTGCAAAATGACAAAACAGTGCTGTTGTGAAAGGGTTCGCTACTGCAGCAACAGTTCCCATTGCCATGCACCACCCCCCCCACACACACACCCGCCCACTCGTAGCTGACTTCCAACAGATACTGGTTCTCCAGGCTGCAATGAGGGAGCTCCATGCTGCATTAACATTTATCCCAATGTTAATGAGGGAATCCTGGGATGTCACAGCTGAGACATTATCAAATGAAAATCCACATTGTCAAAATTAAGAAACAGACCTTCTGATAGATGAAAGAAAATTCCTGATATCAAAAAGCAAATTAGTGGCATAGCTGGAATTTAAATCCACTTCTATCAACTCCAAAGCATGGGTTCTTTCGCTGTCAGAATGCGTCCTGGTCCTGAAATACCCTTTTTACTTCCCTTTGACATGGCTTCTCACCTGGCACAGCTGCATAATTTGCAAGGCCTAGTGTAAAATGTACATGAGGGGCCTCCTATTAAAAAAAAGTAAGAATTTCAGGATGATGACAGCAGAACATTAACCCCTATTGTGTGAGGTCTTCTTAAGCATGGAGACCTGGGAAACTTTACAAGTCACATGCTTATGAAGCTGGCCCTTGCTGGCACAGCTCTGGCCACAGATCACATTTTGGCATCCAGCCACTTACAGAAAGAAGGAAAGAAGGAAATTCACATCTATTAATAATAAGATTATGTGCTTTACATGTATTATCTCATTTAATCATCAACTCTGTTATGGTATTATCATCCATATGAGAGGATGAAGAAACTGAGGCACATAGAAGTAAAATGACTTGCCTACAAACACAAAACTAAGAATTAATGGAGAAGACAGAATTTGCATTCAGGTCTTTTTGACTCCAAATGTTAAGTGTTTTCTACTCTCCCACAATGGCTACAAGGAGAGAAGAAAGTAGTTGACCTTGAGAAGGAAAATATGGTGCCAGACCATATTAAGTTCAACTGTGAGATTCAGGCTTCATGAAAAGTGTGAGAAGAAAGAGAGTGACTTCCTAGTGCCACATGTTTGCAATCCTTGGGCAGTCCCCATTTGCAGTCTGGAAGACATTGGATTCCCATTATGCAGTGCTCTACATCATGAAACCTGATAACATGGCAGAAGGGAGAGGCAATTTTTCAATGCTTTTAGGGTATACTTGTGATTGCTTTCAATGATTTCAGTGCTCAAGTCCCAGTCCTTAATCTACATAACAGAAGTAGGACCCTGAGCAGTGCTCAAACCCTGGTGAATAATCAATCTATCCAAGCTACATACAGTCTTATAAATTAAGGTTCAAGAGAAAAGACTATATGCTGGGATCCAGGAGTTTGGTGCCCCAGTCCTAGATTTGTTAGGTCTGTTTCCTCCCTTAGCTTTGGTTTTCTATTTAATCAATGGAAGCTCAACTAGATGATCTTAGTGGCCTCTCCGACTCAAATATTCCTTGGTTTCTTTATAAACTGATCTATCCCTGCCCCTCCCTCACTGTGGGCTTCCTTGTGGTTGCAGGGTCTAGAGACTAGGGACAGCTTGGGATAGAGATTCACTTGCAGTTACACTACTCTGCAGAAACTTCCTTCTACCAGAATAATTTATTGGCTTTGTCCTTGAGACCAGTTTCCCCAGATATGGCTTCTAGAAAGATTCAGTTCCTTTTTATTTTTGGTTTCTGACTAAAAGCTTGGGGTGGAGTCAGGATTGTCCTGTGGGCACTTTCTTAGGGAGGGACTCCATCTTTTCTACTTACTTCACAGAAATTGAGTAATTTCAGCTGCCCACTCCTTTTTTTTTTTTCACCTATCAGTTAAAGTAATCTACTAACTTTTTAAAAGGGGCCTTTCGGAGGCAATGTTTTTACCTAAAATAGTAATTAATAGTGATCACTTTGAACCACATAGTATGTCCATGAAAGAGAGCCTTGGGAGCCAGAAGGACCTGCAAATCATGCCATCTATGCAGAAGACCTGAATTAGAGCAAAGATATTGGGATCCTTGAAGTTCCTCTTTACCTCATAAGCACAAAGCATGTTGAGAAGGGCCAACTTTGCAGTAATAGCACAAAGGGAACTTTCCTCTAGGTCTGTTGTCCAACCAAAAGACTCACAGTTCTCTCATTTTGGATGCTTTTTTACTTGGCTAAGCCTATTAAGGGGGATGAGGGAGAAGAGAGTTGGATGGACAGAGCTGTTAGGCAGTGCTGGAGTCCCACACTGTAGATACATTCATTTATTCACTCAGTGCTGGAATGGAAGGAACAACTGAATTTTGAGTCAGAGTCATTGTGTCTTACATTGTAGGATTTAACCCCTGAGTTATAGACCCACCTCTGTAACTCATTAACTATATGCCCTTGAAAAATCACGCACAGCCTGTTTGAGCCTCAGCCACCACATCATATTGAGGGATTCTTGGGAAGGCATGCACCCAAGGAACTATGTTTTTCTTCAGTATGAGATAAGATAATTTGACAAAAATACAAAGTGCTGTCAGAAAAGTGTGACTGTTCTAGGGCAGGGGACAAGGAGGTGGTTCTTGGGAAGGTAGGATTTTAGCTATATCTTAAAAGATAGAGAGACAAAATAATGATGTTCATGATCTCTGAAAAGCCTTCTCTGACCACCCTTCTCCCACTGAAAATAATTGTTCCCCGCTGTGCTTGCCTCTAGTGCCCAAAACCTGTTCATAGTACACTTATGTGTCTGTCTCTCCCAAGAACTGCCCAAAGTCAGATTCATGTCTGATCCCTTCTTTTCTTCACAGGGCCATACATGAAATAGTTATCCCAGAACTGCAAGTTGAATAAATTAATGTACCAGTGCACTATCAAAAGAAGGAATCCTCATAGCCCAAGTTCCCCACATTCCTTGGCTTACCTCATCTCCATGAAATCTTTCTTTTAATTTCAAGTTTATTTCCCTGCTCATTTAATCCCATCTCTTATTGGAAACCTGTCAAGAAAAAGCCCCAAGAACAATTGCAAAGCTGAGGCCACTTCCTGTGTAAGAGGACAGTGTCTACACACTCCACCTTAACCCCAGTGATTGCTGTGCATATGATTGCACTGGGGCTTCCTCTGAAAAGAAACCAAAGGCTGATGCAATTTATAGGGCACCTCCAGGCCAGGATGGAAAAACTTCATGTGTACCTGGGCCTGGCCATAGAAGATTTACTGTGATGTTCCCCACAAGCCCAGTGACATTGACAAGAGAGGTGGCAGCAACTAACCTACCAACTACAGCTCAACTTTATTCAACAGGCTGTGTTGAGCCTTACTGGCTGCAAAACTCTATGTTTGGTACAAAGGGGGAAAACTATAGAACAGACCAGTAATATATATCCAATAGAATATAATGTGAGCTCTAAATTTTCTAATAGGTACATTAAAATTTGAAAAATAAATAGGTGCAAGTAATTTTCATAATATATTTTATTTAACCCAATGCATCCAAAATGTTGTCTTAACCTATAAACAATGTAAAAATTTATTAATGAGATATTCTACATTTTTTGAAATGCAGTGTGCATTTTACACTTATAGTACATTGCAATTTGGACTAGCCATGTTTCCAGTTCAATTGCCACATGTAGCTAGTAGCTAATTGGACAGCACATGTATAAAATGTGGTCCCTTCCCTCAAGGAATTCACATAAGTATGTACAAGTAACAAGTACTGTAGTGGAGGTGCATGTATAGAAAGGAGAATTTCACCAGAAGTTAGAAGTCCTGGGATACAGTCTTTTCTCTGCCACTGGTTCTCTGTGTGACCTTGAGTAAATCCCTCTCCCTCTATGGGCCTCCATATTTTCATCTCTACAATGAGGCTGGACTAGATTTTTTCATTCAACAAATATATGTTGAATGTTTTGTAAGTATCAGTCATGGTGCCAGGCACTCAGGATACAGAGATGAACAAGACACATAACAATGTTTGCCTTCTTGAAACTTGCAGTGTGGTGGAAAGTAGGTATTAAACAAACATTTGTGGGTAAATATGACAAGAAAGGGGGAAGCACAGAGGGCTGGGAGAACACATAACAAGGGAAATATAATCCACCAGACTTGGATAGGTCAAGGAAGCCTCTCAAAAGAAGTAACCTTTGAAGGCTACCTGCAGAATGAGAAGATGTGAACCAAGTGAATAACTGGTGAAAGGCCATTCCAAGCAGAAGAAACAGCATGTGTAAAGGCTCCGTGATGGCAAAGAATGTGTTATATTCCAGGAAGATAAGGAGACTCATGTGGCCTAGAATTGAGTGAGCAAAGGAAAGAATAACTAAAAAAATGGTAGTAAGATAGGTAAGCAGGGGACCAAAATGGGAAAGGTCTTAAATACTATGTTGAGGGTTTGAAATTTATCCAATGAGTCATGAATAGCCAGAGAAGGTACAGATGATGCCGTGACCTTTCATCTCCAAGACAAGGAATTTTGAAAGTTAGGCCATGAAAAGAAAAGTTTATTCCAACAAGCTGGACAAGTAACTTCACAGAAGAGGCAGTGTTTTAAAAGACTCTTTAAAAAAAAAAAAATTCCTTATGTTCAGTTAGCCAACATAAAGGATAATAAGATCAGTAGTGAGAGAAGTCTTCCAGGCAGAGGAGAGAACATAAGTATAAACATGCAGAGATGGGAAAGAACATGGTGAGCTTGTGTGAACGAGGGACGACTTATGTAACAAAGTAAATATTAGCCTAAGAATATCTTTTAGTATCTACAGATGTCCTAGAGTAATAGAAGCCCAAAGTCCTATCCAACACACTAAATGTGTTCTGGGAGAAACCAGACAAAGATCTTGGACCTACAAAGAGGTTAATTTTGTATAATCATCATCATCGTCATCATCATCACACTGCATGAACTTCCTAAGTAACAGGCACTATCTCAAGGCCTTTACATGTATTTGTTTATGCAATTTGATCACAATTACT